TTAGGGACTTTATATCCCCTTGGTAAATCAGTATGCATTATGCAATCTAATATAGGAGAAGCATAATTTGGCCTTCTCATTCCTGTGTTGAGGCCATTCTGGGCCATGACTCTCTCTATCATGGTGGTTAGATTGTTTTCTGCCAAGATGTTATCGTTTCGAATTCTATGAACGACAGCATCGGCATCTTGATTTCGACCAACCATGACAACCCCCCTAGGTTGTTCTTCTCGAAACTCTGGGGCTTCTAGCTTTTCGACCCTTGCCCCTGGTTCCATAATTTCTCTTTGTGGGCCTGGGATTATTGGGGCTTCTAACCTTGGTGCCCTGGCCCCTAAGTTAACTTCTTCTCTAGGTGGTCTATAAATTGGGTCGTTAGCAATTTTCTCTATAACAGGCATGTTTGCTCGAAATCTCGCCTGATTCTGCCTACGCCTTTCTGGAGGAGCAAAGAAATCTGCTATTCGACTCATGTTGTCAGCGTTTTCCCTGTTTGTCACAGTCACATTTTGTACTATTGGGGCAAATATTTCCTGCATAGTTTATGCTAACACCCCTATCATATTATGGTTACTGTCATCCATCAATTGCCTAAAAGCCAACTGGTTTTCTGTGGTTAAAATAGGCATTGTGCTATTACCCACTAACCCTTGGTTATTTGTCATAAACTGATTCGCCCCAGACCCAGACCCTAATTGTGGTGATGAATTCGATGTGGAATTGTGTAAACCTGCCATAAAGGAAGTTGGCATTCCATAAGAGGAATTTCTTGTTCTATTACCATCGAAACCGGGTGGTCTAGTTAGTGGAGTGGCGAAATGGGATTGTGTCCCTGATGGTGGAACGAATCCCCCAGGGTAACCAATGGTTCCAGTATTTCCTATGATCGAACTATTAGTTGATATGCCACTTACTCCATTGGTGGCTATATTACTGGTTGAAGATGCAACAGACTGTGCATTCGAAGGGATCACATTAGATGTTCCTATCGAAGTGGACACATTAGTGCCTGTTGTATGTGGGGCGTTTTGTTCCCCTTGTTGATTGACAGAATTAGACATCTTGTTCAAACGTTTTCTTCTGGATAAAGGTTGGTTGCTGTTGGTTATTTTACCACTTCTTAGGTTCATAAAACATCAAACTTCTTAGGTTCCAACGTTTTTATAATGTTTATGTCTCAACAATCTTTATTTCTAATTTCCAATTATTGGTCCCACCGGGTGTGCCAATTTGTTTCCAGTGATTTCTGGTAAACAACTGCTAGTCTTCCAAACTATCGAATAAACTTACTGACTGTTATTCAATTTCTCTGGTAACTCACAGGAGCGACTAGATTGATCCTAGGATTCCTTGGTCATTAGGGTAACTCTCATGATCGAACAGATATTCATGGTTGGTATTTGAGTGTTTTATAGGTGTTTGGCTTATTTCGATTTCTCTCTTAAAGATCTAAAGGTGTGATCAAAATACATGTGCACGAAACTAAATTGCATGAATAAATGTTAATTGTAAAGACATGTAAAATTGCATAAAAAGCAAGTAAATGGCTTCGAATTATAAAAACAGTTAATGTAAAAGATGCTCTGGAACGTAAAAGATTCGAAATATGAAGAAAGCGTTTAATGCAAGAAATCTCTAAATGACTTTAAGTAAAAATAGGCGTTCGAAGGATAAAACTTGAAGATAAAGGCATGAAAAGTATGACAGTTTTCTGAAATGTAAAGTGCTTGAAATGTAAAGAAAGCATTGAAATGTAAGGCTTTAATGAAAAGATTTCGAATAAAAGACTTTAAATGAGAAAACTTGTAAATGGTATTTGACAAGAAGATAAAGGAAAATGCTGGAAATGATAAAAGGTTTTCATTAAATCATAAATATATGGTGCTATCATACGTACATTGCTCTTGCATTCGTTTCCCTTGCCATGTGGTAATTTGAATGTTACTGAGTATTTAGTACAATAGATATGACACACGAAATCCTAATACTAAGACTTCTATTTATACTAATTCGACCATAACGGTCTTGCTATAGGATTATGCCACGTTCAGAACATGCAGAACAATGCCTCTCTCTTGTTTCCACGTGTCTCCAAATGCTCCAGCACATAAATTTCAAACTTCGAATGTCCCGCTTCCATTTGAATTTCAAATGCTTTGGTATTTCTCCGCTTTGAACGCACTTCTCAGACACAGCCTTGTTGTCATTTCGAGACTTCTTTAGATATGTTCCCATAATTGCCACTCGAAGCTTCAAGCTTTGATATGCTTGTTCGAAACACTGCTTCTGCTACTTCGAAACATGACGCTTTGTTTCATTTCGATCGAAACGTTCAATTCACTTGGCTTCTAATAATATTATCAAAATCTTCAGCCAACACATACATAACCTTCAAATAACACATAGCTTCCACCTCTGACTTCATCACGCTCTCATCTTCATTTTCACCTTTTGCCACCATGTCTTCATCCCATATGAACAAATTACATGTCTCTTCACTCCTCCAAAATGGACATCTCCAAAAAATTCTTCCTTAATTTTATCCCTTCTTGCATTGGTACAAAACCATACGACAATCATACCCATATAATGGTCTAGATCGTGATTTTACATAAGTAGAAGACATATAAACACTTTTAGATGAGTTTGTCTTCAAATACGGTGTTGTTTTAGGCAATACAATATTCCAAAATCGAGATGATAGTTAAGTGTTATTTTTCACTGTTTTCAACGGTCTTAAACAAATCTATGTCATCCATTTAAAGGTTATCAACGCTCAAGAATCCGCCTTTAGTGATCCGCGTGAAACCTAAAGGATATCCACTATATAAGTTGTCTTATGATATGAAATCTAACCAAAATGAAATATATGAAGCGCTTGAAACTTAAGAACGCTTGGAAAGTTCTCTACGATGGATTGCAAGCGTAGAAAATCATCTGGATTCAAGGTTTGTTTTCTTAAATATTTTTTCATTATTTAAGTTTTAGATTATTGTTTTCTCAAATATTAATTACCTTACCTTTATTTTCATCAGAAACCATTACATGTAAGATCTAACAGAAGATGTTCCCCAAGATTCTATTATACGAAGATCTAAATCTACATCTTGAGGGGAAACAAGATACCCTAGTGAATTTGATTTTTATATTTATTTTCTGGGTAAACAATATAATTTTCTGGGTAAACATAAACATTGTAATATTCTGAATAAAGAATGTAAATGTAATAATTAAAAAAAAAAGATTTTATATGTCCCTCGATTTTTGGATAAACCGAGATAAAAGATACACTAGTTTGGAATATTATAAAAGTGCGGCACCTGGGTTCGAACTCATGTATTAAATGGTTTTGAAATAACTATTTATGTTGGTTTTGAAAACACCTACGTATTAAATAGAGACTTTTCATGACGATCTTATTTATCTCGCTTTTGTTATCGACGTACAACACTTTTCACATCCGATATTAGAAACGTTATTTGTTGTAGTGTTGTCATCAACAACATGATTTACTTTACATAAAAATTTATCTCTGTTATCAAATCACTTACTAAACGAACAAGACTCACCATTCCTACTTCCAGGGTGTTTCTTTAATAACATTCTTGAAGTTTGTACTTTAGAAGATAACAATTTATGTTTAGTTTCTTCTGTTTTAGGTGTGGATATATTTTCTTTAGAAACCAGTTATTCTTATTTATATGGTATCAAATCGAATTATATCAATGAAAGACCACTCAAACAAAGTGTCAAATTGAAGTGTCTATACTTTCTTCTAAAGACATGAAGTCATATTTAATTCTTACAAAAGTTATATACTTTTTGCAGAATTTAAAAAGAAGAGTCGTATAAATTTCATTGGACTTGTTTTTGTTGTGGAAGGACTATTAAAGTAAGTACTTATTATGTATCCATCTTGTCATTCATGTTTGAACATTTAAATTGTGTTACACATTTATATTTTTTTTACTATATAGTTCTTGTCATGGTTTATATTACATTTATGTCCACTTATAATTTGATAGTCTTTAATTTAAGTTGCAATGTCTTGGTTTCTTTTGTAGTCATGTTAATTGTAAGTCATGGATTGACAAACCACAAGACATGGTTGAGTATGAAAATGGGTTAATTAATTTTTTGAATTTTGCATTTCACCATAAATCTATTGATGGTCTTAAGATAAAGTGGCCATGTTCGAAATGTGGTTTCAAGAAGTGGGGAACATGGGATGAGGTTTATGTACACCTGAAGAATAAATATTTTTTAAAACCATTATAAATTTTGGAACTGGCATGGTGAATGGTCAAGTATAAATGAGCCATAAGTAGTTGAAAGAACATATGTCATAGAAGATACCTTCGAACTACAAAATTCAATGGAAAACATAGTCCATGATGCATTTGGATTTATCCAAAGTAGTACGAATAATATCGGTCCATCTTCTGAGAAAAATCGCGAAGGGAGAAATTCGACGTGGGGTGAAGATAAGGCCGAGTTTTTTGAGTTGTTAAAAGATGTTGACCAACCATTATATGATGGGTGTACAAACTACTCAAAGTTATCATTTCTAATTAAACTGTATCATATAAAATGCCTGTGTGGAGTAAGTGACAAAGCAACGGCGGTGATTATAGAGTTATTAAAAGATGTGTTTGAAGATGTTAAGAGCATCTCCAATGGTGCTACTCATATTTGGGTTCTTTGTGGAATCCATTAAGCCACATAATCTTGAAGCAACTCACTTCATTTTTCACTCCAATGGTGCAATTTTAAAGGACTTATATTGGGTCCCACAATTTTACTTGTATATTAATATTTTATTCATACTAAATTTTATTTGATTTAAAATAATAATTTAAATTATTTAAATTTAAATTAATATAAAATAAATAAAATTAAAATTAAACATAAAATTTAAAATGATAATTAAAATTAATCTCAAATACATGACATATAATTAAAAACAATAAAAATAAATTACATAACATAATTACTCAAATTTAATTTTCATCGTCCTCATGTCCAAAACGTTCCCAAATATGCTCGACTAGATCTCCTTGAAGTTGGCGATGAACTTGTTTTTCACGAAGAGTTGCTCTTCTTTGTAGTCTTGTTGCAAGATTCGGATGAGGACCGTTAAATGTTTCAGTCGTTGAGTTGTTGTTACCGACATTATCGTAAGAGTAATCAAAATCACCTCCATATGTGTGTCGTTCGTCTTCGACAATCATGTTGTGCAATATGATGCAAGCATATATGGTATGCTTGAGGATTTCCATGTGCCAAGCACACGCTGGACCACGTATTATTGCAAAACGAGATTGAAGCACTCCAAATGCCCGTTCCACATCCTTTCTAGCTGATTATTGGTGTTGTACAAATAGTTTTCTCTTTTCTCCTTGTGGCATCGAAATAGTTTTGACAAATGTAGCCCACTCAGGATATATTCCATCCGCTAAATAATACCCCATATTATAAGGAGTTCCATTGATTGTATATTGCACATTAGCAGTACGTCCTTCCAAAATATCGTTAAACACATTGGATTGGTTTAACACATTAATGTCATTGTTTGAACCTGCAATACCAAAAAATGCATGCCAAATCCACAAGTCTTGTGATGCCACTGCTTCAAGCATGATCGTGGGTTTACCATGATCACCTCGACAAAACTGTCTTTTCCATGCAACAGGACAATTCTTCCATTCTCAATGCATACAATCAATGGAACCCAACATACCTGGAAAGCCATGTGACTCACCCATTTGTAAAAGATGTTCAATATCAGTGTTGTTAGGCTTTCTCAAATACTCAGCCCCAAATACAACATTCACGCCCTTAACGAATCTTTCTAAGCACTCAATTGAGGTACTTTCACCGATTCGAACATATTCGTCTACAATGTCAGCGGGAGACCCATATGCCAACATACGAATAGCAGATGTGCATTTCTTCAATGGTGAAAGACCCATCTTACCAGTTGCATCGACCCTCATTTGGAAATATTCATCATGATTGCCGAGGGCATCTACAATTCGAAGAAACACATGCCTATGCATTTTGAACCTTCTTCGGAATTGTACATCTGTGTATACTGGATTTTCTGAGAAGTAGTCATTGAATAACCGATTGTGCCCTTCTTCACGACCTCGATCTATCGTAGTTCTTCTCTTTGGCCTAGAGGAACTTCCAAATTGACATTCATTTTGAAGATGTTGTTCTTCATCACTGTCGTCCATAAATTCTTCTTCAACTAACTCCTAAAATTCTTGATCGTAATTATCTGAATTGTCTGAATCCATTTTAGTGAGGAATAAGAAGAGAATGAGAAAACAATGACATAAGTGGTAGCATATATAATGGTTTGAATAAAGGCTAGTTATTCATAACGGCTAGTTTGAACAACATAATATTTATTATGATTTAAAGTGGTACTAATGACCATTTTACATAGGATTTGATAAATTAAAGTGGTACTAATGAATATTTTACATATAATTTAAAGTGGTACTAACTACAGTCCATATTTTTTTTTCATTTTATTACAATATTTTTCATGAATATCTCGTTGACTTTCGTTCATAGTAGAAGTATCTTTCATCATGATTTGCATTACCTTTAATTCTACCTCGTCCTCCTTACTTTGCGCAAGTCTTTCCATTGTTTCTGCTCTTTTATTCCTTGCATCTTGCGTTGCATTTGAAATTTCCTTTGCCTTACCCTTCCTTTTTGCTGCCTTTTGTCCCATTAGACGCTCCATTGGTGATGATGAGTTAAACTCATAACTTGAAGGTGTATCAGGGATCTCCGATGATGCCCCACTAGCAGAAGTCTGTGTCATTTTTGAAGAATTTCCAATCGATTCTCCGATGAAGCCCCATTTAGCTTCATCTTTTAACAATCTCCATGCATACTCAAGATTGAATGTTGTACCTTGATCTTGAGCATAAAAAGCATGTGCAGCAGCCATGATATCGTTCTTCGATGTCCCACTTTTCTTTCCATTGACAGCTTGTCTATAACACCCAACAAATTTTTGAACCGACGCATTTATTCGATGCCATCGACATTTTAATTGACCACTTAACTTTTCTCGCAATTGCCCGCGATACTGGTTATAATTTGTAGCGATTCTATGCCAAAAACTCTCAGCTTTTTGATCAACTCCCACAATTGGATCCTTTGAAACATTGAGCCATGATTGGATAAGACATATATCCTCATCCCTTGTAAATTGCTCTCGAGATTTTTTTTTAACGAGAACCCTTTCTTCTTTTTCAACACCAACTTGAGTAGAAAATGGTGGAACTTGAGAATTTTGAGGATTAGGATTTTGATACATATTTGAATTGTTTGGTGACTGAAAAAATATGGCGGGGTTTGGTGGTACTGATGGAATTTGAGAATTTTGAGAATTAGGATTTTGATAATTTTGCATGAAATTGAACATAGCTTGTTGATAATGAAAATGATTAGGATCCATTTGGCCTAAACAAATGTAATTTGAAATAAAAAGATGAAAATTTGAAATAAAATGATAATGAGAAGAAATTGTTGGAAAAAAAATTAAAAATTAATGAATAAAATGATGAAATTGTGAGAGAGAAATTCGAAATTAAAGAGTAAATAAAAGTGAGAGAAAATAGGATTGGTATACAATTTTCCAACAAACCTATATTTATAATAAATAAAAAAAGTTTAAAAAAAATAAAAAAATAAAATCGTTGCACAACGGTTAATTGATTATTTTAATAATAAAAAAATATGAAGAGTCGTCGCTTATATTTGTACCGTTCACCAGCTGGAACAACTTTTTTGTTGACAATTTCAATATCAAGCTGACAAACCAATCTAAAAAACCACCGTTAGAGGTGGTCTAAGAAGTGACAAAGAAATTAGGTTATAAAGACAAATGAAAATCTCCAACTTTTTGTATTTTTTAAAAGTTGTTACAAGATGTTCACCAACCATTATATGATGGGTGTACAAACTACTCAAAATTATCATTTCTAATTAAATTGCATCATATAAAATGCTTGTGTGGAGTAAGTGACAAAGCAATGACGATGATTATAAAGTTATTAAAAGACGTGTTTGTAGATGCTAAGAAGTGACAAAGAAATTAGGCTATAAAGACAAATGAAAATCTCCAACTTTTTGTATTTTTTATTATATATTATTTGGTTTTACTCACATAACCTTTTATATCTTACAGATAAAGAGTATGGTACAATTCAAAAAGTGTGTTTGACTTGTAAGGATAACATGACATGCCAAATAATTTGCGTATTATTTTAGAGTTTGATGAAATTCATTCACCTATTGGAAAGGCTGCCAGTTTGCTTTCTGGAGTATGTGGACTAGTAGCAACGGAAAGTCTCTTTTTTCCTATAGGTTTTGACAAGTGGACAGATATGTCTGAAGATTATTTTGATGAATAATAGAAAATCCTTTTTGAGGTAAATTAATTTTAGTTTTACACATTTACTTAGAGTTTACATATACAATATTGTATGTGACTAACATTCTTTTTATTTGGAAGCCTCGATTTTGTTTCAAGGTACATGAAGATTTATCTAAAAGGTATATTGATGCTTCAATTGGCAAAAAAAGTGGATGAAATATAGGGGTAATTACTGGAAAGCTAAATATAATCCACTTTTGAGAAAAAGTGAAATCATCAAAAATAGATCCGAGAACATCCCTCTAAATCATTGGATATTATTTATTGAGTATCGCTCAAGACCAAAAACGATGGTACGTTATTTTCATTAGTCATTGTATATTGAATAGTTTTGTATACATAATATTTTTGTTATGTTAAGTAATTTGTTTTATTTTTAGGATCTATGTAATATTAGAGGGTAATTTAGTATTTGTCATTTGTAAATATTTTTATTAAGACCTATGTAGCATTCTTATTTGTGTATAAATATGTGTACTAGGTTTACATTTATTACAATCCAATTCCTCCAATCATTAGTGGCAGCTTTTAGCATTTATTCCTTTTCTCTCTTCTTCCTCAAATTCATCACCTTGCACTAACAAATTGGTATCTAGAGCTCTTGGTTTGTTCTGAAACTCTGGGAAACACGAGTGATAGTAAGCTGTGTGTTTGATTTTTGAATCTTGAACAAAAATTTGAAACAGAATCACACTGATTCTGTGGGTTTGGGAAACACTGAGTGAGAAATCTGAGATCTGAGTTTTTTGTGCAAGGTTTAAGATGAATGGAGGCAATAGTTTGAACACTAAACTTCCAGTTTTTGATGGCAAAAACTGGAACAGATGGAAGATACAAATGCGTGTGCTGTTTGGTGCTCAGGATGTTCTGGATCTTGTTTCTGAAGGTTATGTTCCAGCTGCAGCAGGTGCTACTGAAGAACAAAAATCAGAAGAAAGAGCTACGAGGAAGAGGGATCAGAAAGCTCTGTTCTTTATCCATCAGTGTGTGGATGAAAATGTGTTTGAGAAGATTGTTGATTCGATGACGTCGAAAGGGGCATGGGATATACTGACCAGATGTTATGGTGGTGACGTGTCAGTAAAGAAGGTAAAGCTTCAGTCCCTGCGAAAACAATATGAAAACCTCAGCATGAAGAACAATGAGAAAGTTTCTGAGTACATCTCCAGAATGATTCTGATCACTAATGAGATGAAGGCTTGTGGAGAAACACTTTCTAAACAGGTAATCATAGAAAAGATTCTGAGGTCACTTACTCCTCAGTTTGATTACATTGTTGTTTCTATTGAACATTTTAAAAATCTGGAAACCATGAGAATAGAAGAGTTGCAAAGCAGTCTAGAAGCGCAAGAGTTGCGTCTGACTGAAAGAACTTCTGAGAGGGAAGTGGAGCAAGCTCTGAAGGCTTCTTTTGTCAAGAAGGACCAGAAGCAGAATAGAAATGGTGATAAATTCCAGAAGTCAGAAACCTCAACTTCTGATGAAAAGAAATATCAGAAGGGAAAGGAAAGGTATGACAAGAAGAAGGTTCAATGTTACTGTTGTAAACAGTTTGGCCATTTTTCCAGAGACTGTAGAAATAGAGGAAGGAAATCAGAAGAAGAAAATATAGTCAGAGAAGACTCTGATGATGAACCTGTGCTACTGATGGCTTCTGATTCTGATGGAAATTGTTCAGGAGATTGGTGGTATATGAACACTGGTTGTTCAAACCACTTGACTGGGAACAAACAATGGCTGATAGACTTTGACTCCAGAAGGAGAACAAAGATCAGATGTGCTGATGATAAGTACCTTAATGCAGAAGGTATGGGAAATGTTAGAGTCAGAGTGAAGAATGGAAGAAACATTCTGATCAAAGACGTTTGGTATGTTCCTGGAATTAAAAGCAATCTGATGAGTGTGGGTCAGCTTATTGAGAAAGGTTTCTCAGTGGTTATGAAGGACAATCTCTTGACGTTGTATGATTCTAATCAGAAGTTGATTATGAAGTCTGAGCATGGAAGAAACAGAATATTCAAGGTGAATGTAGAAACCTCTGAAGCGGAGTGTCTTAGTGCAGAAGGCGCTGAAGCTGACAGTAAGCTGTGGCACAAGAGGTTGGGGCACTTGAACTATAGAAGCTTAGGGCATCTAAGTTCTAAGAAGCTCGTACATGGCATTTCGAAGATTGTGAAGCCTCAGAAGTCATGTGAGATATGCATGAAAGGCAAGCAACCCAGATTTCCATTTGCATCAGAAGTAGCCCCCAGAGAAAAGAATGCTCTGGAAGTAGTACATTTTGATGTGTGTGGACCATTTCCAGTACCTTCACTTGGAGGAAACAAATATTTTGTGTCTTTTGTGTATGAGTTCACAAGAATGACATGGGTAACACTCATCAAGTTCAAACATGAAGTGTTTACTGAGTTCCAGAAGTTCAAGGTGAAGGCTGAGAAGCAGAGTGGTCAGAAGCTGAAGATTCTGAGAACAGATGGTGGAGGTGAGTATAACTCTACAGAGTTCCAGAAATTCTGTGAGGAGAATGGAATAGAACATGAGGTTACTGCTCCATATACTCCTCAGCACAACGGTCTTGCTGAAAGAAGAAACAAAACTTTGCTTGATATGACCAGAAGTATGCTGAAAGAGAAGAAGTTACCTCACATGTTATGGGAAGAAGTTGTTGCCACATCAGCATATGTTCTGAATAGGTGTCCAACAAAGAAGCTGAAAGAAACTGTTCCTTTAGAAAAATGGACTGGAGACAAGCAAAATGTTAGCCATCTGAAGGTGTTTGGCTCTGTATGCTACAAACACGTTCCAGATGCTAGAAGATAAAAATTGGATGATAGAAGTAAAACAATGTTACTGGTGGGGTACCACAGTACAGGTGCCTATAAGCTTTATTGTCCAGAAACCAACAAAGTTGAAATCAGCAGAGACGTCATTGTGAAAGAGTCAGAAACATGGGATTGGAACAAGCTTAAATCAGATTCTGGTGTAGTGCCAACACCAGGGTTAGTTTCTGAAAGTTCTGAAGACGAGTCAGAGTCAGAAGATGAAGACTCTGAAGATGAGTCAGAATCTCAGGGAGATTCTGATAGTGGATCTGATTCTGATCTAGATTCTGATGATATCCAGAATCTGGTGGTGATTATACTTCTGGAAGGGAAAACTCTGAAGACATGGGGTCTGGAGAATAAGCTTCCAGAAGTAACTCTGAAGGTGGTAATTCTGAAGGAAATAATTCTGGACAAAGTCCAGAAGCCAGCACAGTTCCAAGTTCTGGAGAAAATTCAGAACAAGATCAGAGGCCACAGAGAATCAGACGAATACCAAGTAGGTTTGCAGATTTTAGCATGTTGCATGATACTGAAGTAGATTCTGAAGGAGAAATCGTTCAGTGTGCCATGCTAGTAGATTCTGAACCAGTGGGTATTGAAGAAGCACTCAAGAAGAAAGTATGGTTGAATGCCATGAAAGAAGAACTTGAGGCTATTGAAAGAAACAAGTCTTGGAAGCTGACAGAACTTCCAAAAGGCAAGAAGGCCATCAGCGTCAGATGGGTTTTCAAGCAGAAGCTCAAGCCAGATGGATCAGTTGGCAAACATAAAGCGAGACTAGTGGCCATAGGTTTTCTTCAGAAACCTGGACTAGATTACTTTGAGGTGTTTGCGCCTGTAGCTAGACACGAAACAATCAGACTGGTGATTGCTTTAGCTGCAAACAGAAATTGGCCTTTGATACATCTGGATGTGAAGTCTGCATTTCTGAACGGTCCATTACAAGAAGAAGTTTATGTGTCACAACCTCCTGGATTTATGAAAAAGAATCAGGAAGGGATGTATACAGGTTAAATAAAGCTCTGTATGGACTGAAGCAAGCACCCAGAGCTTGGAATTTGAAGATTGATTCGTTTATCAAGGAACAAGGGTTTCAGAAGTGTGAGATGGAGTATGGTGTTTATGTTCAGCACACTTCAGAAGGTAATATGATTCTGGTCT